CCACGTTACATCCTCAGCTTTGAGAATTAATCAGTTATTGCTTCCGAGAACTCATGACCATCCTGTTAAAACTTCTGACCCAACATTTTTTCGCCTTAAACTCTTCACCCGTTAAATAGGCACAATGCTTCTCACCATCTTTGCCAAGCATTTGAGGCCTTACATAAGAGGCAGGTGTTAGCACTTAAAAATGACCAGCTAAACATGTTGTACTTATTTTATCCTTGGCACTTGTGAAAAGGAAAAGAACATGTTTTTCTCTGATACACGTCCATTTTAGACTACACCACTTTTCAGTACTGTAAACGGAAGATAAAAGTAATAAAACTGCACTGACCTTTTCCTTAATGTAGACTCACAAACCTTGACCACCCTGATGACCTCTTTAACAGTGCGTCGGAAATCATGCATTCTTGCTGCCACTAGCAGGGCTAAGGAATAAGCAGAGAAAGTCAATGTCAAAAAGAAGAAAATTTCCTCAAGAAAAGCAGAAAACTGTCAGGTAACGATGACCTCCCTTTGTCCCTGCTTTCAGCTAAAGAGCAGTAAATGCTTGCGTTCAGCTGCATCCTTGAATACAGGTGATTGATTTGACGTTACAAATGTTGCTTCCTACCCAATAAAATTAAGCTGATTGCAAATTGCACCCTAAAAAACTCTAAGCTTTAGCTCATTTTGGAAACTGTGGTTAGCTACTTAAATACAGCAGAAGAACATGATCACACATTTTCAACGCTATCATCTTTTTAGCAGAATTAGTAGTCTTCAATAAAAAGATCTCCAGTTAACTCCTCCAGAAGCGAAACACTGAATCTGCTTAAGCCGTTATCCTCACTGCTGTCACCATGATCACTGGCTTGCTGGTGCCCAAGATGCTCTCATGCAAGACCCTCTACTAAAGCCAGATAACCAGCACAGGCTGTATTTGCATTCCTGTTTTGAGTCAGAGCAATAGCTCAGTGTTGAAGCACCAGCCTCACTCATCACGCAGCGGTTCAGTGGGCAGAAGAGGTTTAAGCGGGCAAAAGTGCTTTCTTTTGGAGGAAAGGAAAGCAGAGCTCTACTTCAGGTATGTGTGGGAAGTGCTCCAGTCCTTGATGGAACATCAGGGGCTGAACTAAGGACAGGTCCTTTACATAGCCCCAAACCTGTGGCCCATTTAGGCCAGGGAACTCTTCTCAGCCCAGACTACAAAAATACACGAAAGGCTTATGACATGGATGGATACAGGGGACTCAGCACCTCCTGCTTCCATCTATTGGATCCATGTCTACTGAATCAAATCACTTGCTCACATAGACATAGCTTATGTAGTGAATCGAAGATAAGGCTGGTTTCCTACAGAGCCTGTACTCGGATTTTTTGGTGATGTGCAGTAAGCAAGTACTATTAACAAGAAAAGGCTAGAAATTTCAGTATCATCTCATAATCCTGGGTTCCCTGTGGTTTGTGCACTATTTCTCATTCAAGCATGCACGTTTAAGATCTTTCAAAGAAAAGCGAGGGCATACATGAACTGTGTGTGTGACTATATGCACTCTTCATCAGTCTGACCTCACTGGCTGGTACTCACTGCCTTTTAGCTTAGCCCTCCCAAGCCAGCAGATTTTTTATAAGCATCATGCTGGCAATGAATCTCGGAAAAAGCTGAAGAAGGAGAGGAAAACAATTTCACAGATTAGGTCAGAGAGGGCATTTCTTGCATAAGAATCAGCTGTGAAGACACAAAACAAAGTGCTTGCACTCGTGATGCGGTTTTAGCTGACAAAAACCTAGAGCTTGCAGAGAGTGGGGGAGAGAGGAGCACCAGAAAGAAGGCTAAAAAAACCCAAAATGCAAGAGGCGAGGGATCTGAGCAAATAATGTAGGGGCAAAAATGATGAAATGCTGTCTAAGCTGTATGTGCCTGACAGGGCAAAACCCAGAGAATATGGGATCACCTAGAAAATGAAGAAGCCTGCATGCATTCCCAGCTGGCAGACCCTCCTGTGCATCCTGCTGGGGTCGAAGCAGCGCGTCCAGCATTTCGCCTACCTGCTCCGCAGAGCCCGGACGGCCTGCGGCCGGTGTGCATCCAGTCTCGCTTCATCCTCTGCAGCAGCCTGAGAGCCGTCATGGACACCTCGTGGTTCTTATCCCCGAACTCAAGCATATGTGCAAAACGAGGAATGTATAAACACGGATCTGAAATAGAAGGTAACAAGATTACTTCTAGTCCCGAACCTTGATTTATGAACCACAAAACTTGAACGGCAGCACCGTGGGGCTGTCATGGTCAGCTTGCTTCACATCTCAGAAAACAACTGGAAAGCAGCACAGACTAAGCTTTTGAAACACCTTTTCACTACGGGTACAGCTAAAACAAAATCCTTTCTTGCTTTGCAGACAAGAGGCTTTTAAAGCACCACACCATGTTTTCCTTACGTGCTTTTCAGGGTTCAAAGCTCCACATGCTGCATGTATTCAGGCGTACCCTCCGTCGGCACAAATTGCTGGAACCCAATTAACGTCAGCAGCACTATGACAATTTACATCAGCCGTGGATCTGCCTCGTGATGTATAAACTTATTTCAAGTGCTGGTGTTATCAGCTTCAAACTAACCGAAATCTGTCAGTTCGGATTGTGCTTTGCCTAAACCAATTTATAATTTATCAAACGATCTTGTAAATGCTACGCTTAACACATGTTTACTCTTATTTGAGGTATCAATTTCTCATTTCCTGCCAGCCTTTTATCACTTGACCGAAAATCCATGATGTACGGTAAATTGTTAACTATTAGCCTCAACTCAATTTCCTTAGCTGATCCCCTATGTGGGCACTTAAACTGATAAAGATGAAAACCCAGCTCAGATCGCTGCGCCAGGCTTCGAGATTTACAATTAATCAAAGCGGTTTCATTTAGCACCGAGTTCTGACAATGATACCCTGTTGCTCTCCGTAATTACCACGATCACAACGAACGTGATTACGCCTGTCAGTCCTACAGAGGCACGTGAAGGAAAGCGTTGCACTCAGCGAGCAAAAGCTTCCAACCGCATCTCCCTCAAAACTTCAGAAACGCCCAAGTGCAGCCGGCTCCTAAACATGATGACAAAAACCAAGGGATTGACCAATTCCTGTGATTTTTTTTAGGGCTCCGTACTTCCAACTATCCGTGCGGTGTGCTAGTAGATCCCTACCACGTTTAGGTGCTCGTTGCAAGTAGACTGCCTGGGAGAACAGCTGAGGAAAACCCAATTTTAAGCACTTTCTTGCATAAATGCCTATTGGCACAACTACAGATTGTTACAAAAGTATGGCTTCTAAAACTAACAGAAACCATCAATCCCAAAACAGGAGAAGAAGCGCTTCCAGGAGCAATGGGTGCCTGGCACCCAAAGACCCCCAAGCTGCCTGTTTTGGGGCAGGGACCAGGCTCCTGCTGAGGACAAGGATTGCAGTGGGGGCTCCTCGACCCCCTCTGGGATCGGGGAGCAGCGAGGCCCATCCATGTAGGTGGCTGCTCTGAGGTCTCTGCCAGCGTTCGTGCCCACGGGTCATTTGACCAAACATTACACGTCGTTAATTCCAGTTCTGAAAGCTCCCAGTCAGAAAATGAGCACAGGGATGGTTTTTAAGCAAAAAGCCATAAAGAGGCCGTAAATGGCCAGGATGCAAAGCTACCAATACATAAATCAAACACGGGGCCAAAGTTAACAGGACCATCTCCTGTACGGACTGACAAATAAGAGTGAACAAACACTTTTTAAGATGCTGCTAAACCCAAGGAGGGCGAACGAACCCTTTTGGGGTTCGACCCCAGCGGCAGCAGCCCAGCACCGCGCTGTGCCCCCAGGAGGAGCCCCCCGTCCCCAGGGGTCTGCTCCTTGCCCAGGGACTGCTGCTTCGCCTGGGGCAGAGCTGGCTTTCTACGATGGGGGCTGTGATGCAAACGAGGTTTATTTATTTTATTTTATTTTGTTTTGTTTTGTTTTGTTTTTAAGGGGAGGCGCTGCTCCCTATCCCAGCTCCAACTTGGATGCACAGAAGTAGCAGGGAGAGTGAAAACCCCCAGTGAAGGATTTAAGACAGCCTCCCCCAGCAGTAATGGGGCTGCAGGGCAGGGGGGAGAGAGGAGGGGGCACTGTGAGGGCCTAGGGGTGATGAAATAATCGATGTGGGAAAAATAATGGGGGAAAGAAATAAAGGGGAAAGAAATAACAGGGAAAGAAATAAAGGGGGGGGGGAGTAGGAGGGGAATAAAGAAGGGAAAATAAAGAGGGGGAATAAAGGGGGAAAAACAGGGAGAAAAATAAAGGGGGAAATAAAGGATGGGGATAAAGGGGGGGGAATAAAAGGGTGAAATATAAAGGGGAAATAAAGGGAGAAAAAGAAGGGGGAAAAAAAGGGGGAAAGTAAAGAAGGGGGAGTTAAGGGGGGAAAGTAAAGGGGGCAAAAAGGGGGAGAAAGGATAAAGGGGAAAAAGTGGAGGGGAAAAAGTTAAATGGGGAAAAACTAAAGGGGGCGAAATTAAAATAAAAATTAAAGTGGGAAACCGGGGTGTGGGGGCAGCACCCGTCAGATAGGGTCTGGGAGGAGGCCCTGGGCTCCCCCCCAGTTATCCCATATCCCATATCCCATCCCATCCCATATCCCATATCCCATCCCATATCCCATCCCATCCCATCCCATCCCCATCCCCTCCCCTCCCGCCCCCCCCTCCCCAGCGCGGGGCAGCGGCGCCCCCGCCCGGTGCTGCCGGGAAGGGCGGCGGGAAGGGGCGGGGGCGGTTCGGCCGCGCTCGGCTCCGCTCGGCTCCGTTCGGCTCCGCTCGGCTCCGCTCGGCGCTGCGCACGGCCCCGGCCGCTCTGCGCCCCCAGGCGGGCGTCGGAGATTGAGGAGGGGCGGGAGGAGGAGGAGAAGGAGGAGGAGGAGGGGGGGGGGCGGCTCCCCCCGCCTCTCCTGATTGGCTGATTGGCGGTGACGCGCGGCGCGGCGCTGCCTCTTAGGGCGGGAGGCGGAGGCAGGGCCCGGCAGAGCCGAGCGGAGCCGAAGGGAGCCGAGCGCGGCCGAGCCGCGTCCCGACAGCGCCGTGAGGGGAGCGCCCAGGGGGCAGCGACGCCCCCGCGGCTGGGGCCAGGAGGAGGAGGAGGAAACTTGGTGCGGGGCAGCCCGGAGCCAGCCCCCGGAGCCAGCCCCAGCGCCGCGGATGTGCCCCACGAGCAGCAGCCGCCGCCGGGCGGGGAAGGACGGAGCCGGGCGCTGGGGAGCCGGCGGGGGGCTGTAGCGGCTGGAGGACCCGGGGACTGAGGCTCGCCCCTCAACGCTGCGCCTGCTCTGCTGGATCTGTGGCTTTTTTGGTGGTGTGTGCTTGGGTTTTTTTCCCTATTTTTACTATTTTTTTTATATATATTTTTTTTATTTTTTTTTTCCTCGGGGGAAGGAGCTGCCGGCCAGCCCCGCTCGCTGCAGTCGTGGCGGTGCCGAGGCTGGGCAGCCCCCCTTGGAGCCAAGGAGGAAAAAAAGGAAAAAAATAAAAATTAAAAAAGAGAAAGAGGCCGCCCCGCACCTAGAAGCGAACCGCGGGACCTGCGTTGGGATCTGTTAGTTCTCTTGCTCATGCCACTGCCCCATGGGTGCCTCAATGGCAGGATCATGAAGTGTTTGACTTTTTTTCTTCTGCTTCCAGAGACCTTAAAGAAGTCCAAAAAGAGCGCGAGGCCAAACGGCAAGGTGCCAGGATGCTATGAGATAGTGCCCCTGGCCCTGAAGAGGAAGATGGCTGCAGAACTTTACCCTGCCAGCGCCAACACCAACATCGCCAACAGCAACGCCGCCGCCACCGCTGCCAACAGCAAGAAGAACGCGCTGCAGCTCCAGCAGAGCGCCCAGCCGCCCCCGCCGCCACAGCTCCAGAACCTCAACAACAACAACTTGGAGAGCGCCAACTGGCAGTCCTTCCACCCCACGCTGCGCGAGAGGTAAGGGACGAGCGACAAGGGACGAGCGACCCCGCCACCGGGCTGGCTGGGGGTTTCGGGGGGGAGATGGGGACGCTGAGTGGCCTCTCCACACCTCCCTCCCTTCCCCTCGCTTGCAGGAACGCGCTGATGTTCAATAACGAACTCATGGCTGACGTCCACTTCATCGTGGGCCCGCCAGGGGCATCCAAGAAAGTTCCTGCCCATAAGGTTTGTGCAGAGCATTATTTTTGTTTTTTCCTCCCCTGCTTTTTGTGATAGTGCTGAGCATCATTCCCCCTTCTTACCCCCACCCCAACAACTCAATTCAATTTTTTTCTCTTAATTATCCCTCCTGCCTAATCCCAGAAGTAATTGGCATATATGGCAGTTAAAGGGAACTGTCTAAGGCGGGCGCCTGCCTCAGCTGCAGCTTTTAACTTTCCCTAAGTGTAGCTCTTATCAAGAGCCAGCACGCTCAGTCATCACAGACGCACGGTACTGAGGCTTCTCTCCCTCCCTCTCTATTTTCCAGTACGTTTTGGCAGTCGGTAGCTCTGTCTTCTACGCTATGTTTTATGGTGATCTCGCAGAGGTCAAATCTGAAATCCATATACCAGATGTGGAACCTGCAGCCTTTCTAATCCTATTAAAGTAAGTGGCCACTACAAGTTACTAATTACGTGGACGGAATCAAAGTAGCTTAAACTATACATCTACCTCCTAATTGGCATTGTGCAATATGCACATATTACTGTTTACTTCATGTGCTGACAAATACCGAGTGTCAGACTCGCTGCCAGCAAAGATGACTACAGATGAGTTTTTCTTTTTTTTCTCATGGGCTATACATACATCTATTTTTCCCTTAAGAAACTTCTTTTTTCCCCCCTCTAGATACATGTATAGTGATGAAATAGACCTGGAAGCTGACACAGTTCTGGCTACGCTGTATGCTGCCAAGAAGTACATCGTGCCAGCCCTAGCAAAGGCTTGCGTCAATTTTCTGGAGACTAGTTTAGAGGCGAAGAACGCTTGCGTTCTGCTGTCTCAGAGCAGGCTCTTTGAGGAGCCAGAGCTGACACAGCGCTGCTGGGAGGTGATTGATGCTCAAGCAGAAATGGCACTGAAGTCAGAAGGCTTCTGTGAGATAGATCAACAGACGCTAGAGATCATTGTAACCCGGGAGGCGCTCAACACCAAGGAAGTGGTAGTTTTCGAGGCCGTTCTCAACTGGGCAGAGGCTGAATGCAAAAGGCAAGGGCTGCCGGTTACGCCACGCAACAAGAGGAATGTATTAGGAAAAGCGCTGTACTTGGTGCGGATTCCCACTATGACTCTGGAAGAGTTTGCCAACGGAGCTGCCCAGTCCGACATCCTCACCCTTGAGGAAACTCACAACATATTCCTATGGTACACGGCTGCCAACAAACCCAAACTTGAGTTTCCCCTGACGAAAAGGAAAGGACTCGTACCTCAGCGATGCCATCGATTTCAGTCGTCCGCGTACCGCAGTAACCAGTGGAGGTACAGAGGGCGGTGTGACAGTATTCAGTTTGCCGTAGACAAACGGATATTTATAGCAGGACTGGGATTGTATGGGTCAAGTTGCGGCAAAGCTGAATACAGCGTCAAAATCGAACTGAAGCGCTTAGGAGTTGTCCTTGCTCAAAATCTGACAAAGTTTACCTCCGACGGGTCCAGTAATACTTTCTCTGTGTGGTTTGAACACCCTGTGCAGGTTGAGCAGGACACGTTTTACAATGTAAGTGCTATTCTCGACGGCAATGAACTCAGTTACTTCGGGCAAGAGGGAATGACTGAAGTGCAGTGTGGAAAAGTGACATTCCAGTTCCAGTGCTCCTCGGACAGTACCAATGGAACTGGAGTACAAGGAGGACAGATACCTGAGCTCATTTTCTATGCATGATGCATTTCACCTTGATTGTATTCCGATACTGCAACAATGCACATTAAGGGATTTTCCAATTTTACTACGAAACTGTACAGCAGTATGGAATGTTATGCTACTTACCTATCTGCTACATCAGCCTATACAAATAAGTGAAGGAATGCTCTCGAATTTAATCTTATTTTATTTATTCATAAGCTATTTGACTTAATTAAGACTGCAACAAGCAGAAAAATGTTAAATTTCGCACGTACTGTGCATTTATTTTGTATATAGATAACTAACTTGCAGACTGCAGCTGACTTAAACAGAATGTTCTAAACTAGAGCAGTTTATGAATCTGTGAAATATAAAACCTTTTTACTTGCCCTAACTCCTGTGTACTTGATTGTTACTGATCCTATGGCTTGTGTCTGTTAATTCAACTACAGTTGATAATGCCATTGCCCCTTACATGTGGGGGTGTATCCCTGCCCCTATGAAGGCTCCCTTGCCTGCTGAGACTATCCAGCAGGCAGCTTTTACTTGCTTTTATTTTCTTTCACAGGGAAGCTGATATAGAAGCTTAGAGGTGTTTTGTGTGTTGCCTAAGTTAACACAGACAAAACTTGAGTGTATCTAATGCCAATTAATATCACCCTGTAGTTATACTTGAAAGCTTATAGCGTCTGTTCACAACATGCTCTTGGCATCATCTGCATTAACCTCCAGCCTGCCCAGCAAACAGCAGCGCTGATGCCTGTCAAACTGCACCAGATTCAAAGAGCCAGTCAGGACATACTGATGAAGCTTAACACAGCAACAGGCTTCATCACAAGAAGTGATGAAGCCAAGAGCTATAATACTGACAGCCGCTATCTAAATACACATCACAGGAGCATACATTAGAGAAATATTTACAATATGGTCTTTAAGTTCACTCAAAGTTACTAATTGGTGGAAGCTGCCTTAAGCAAATGATGCTGCATCTTCTTTCTCCCTCTGTATTTTTGTTGAGAACTGTAAGTCCCTTCCATCCACTATTAGTAGTCATTTAATAGCTACCATCCTTCAATTGTCTCCAAGACTGACAAAAGTAGGTGTGTTCCTCAAAGTTCTGACTATGATTAGAGGTGAACCGCTTAGAAGTACTTTTCTGTATAAATCTCATAATGACCTTGGAAAGACTATTCAAACAGCAAGCTAAACCATTGTTTTTCCCCCTGTACAACAGGTACCTCTAGATTTACTTTAGAAGGGTTTTCTGTTTGTCTTTACTTAAGCTGCGTTATTTTTGCACCTTGAAACTAAGTTGCAATACAGTGCCTGTTTTTCCTCTCAAAAGGGGTACTAAGTCTTGAAAAAAAAGTAGTTTCTACCAGACATCAACCTCTTTTAACTGAGGCAGTTTGCTGCCATAATGGTCGATAGCCATGTCCTGCCATATGCTGTCTGGGTGCCATTAAAACAAAGCTCAGTACAGGAGCTGCTGGTTCTCTTGCTGCAAACTAAACGAGCAAGAACACAATTATATGACCAGCTGAGTACATCTGAAGGAGTACTGAAGGAGTATGCACGTGTTCTTGAACTCAAAGGCATCTGATTCTCACTGCAGATTAAGGAGAGTGGGAGTAGGGGTGGATTAAAATACAGGAAAAAATGGTGCACAGAGGTGGTAACAGTCACAAGACCTCTCTGTAAACTCCTCCTTTTATAGATGGAATTGGTATCAATTCCAAATTGGCTCCAAAGTTGCAACTGAGGCAAGAATATTTTTTTAACCCTTTTAACAAGGTGAAAACCCACCTCACTATCACCGTGTGCTATAATTTCAACAATAACTTACTAATTAAAAAGTTATTAAAATACTTGGGAAAAAGTTGCCAACTTGGAAAACACTGCACCTCATTTTCCATCAAGTCACTTGTAATACAAGTGCTGAACTGCTCAGCTACAGGTGATGGACTGACAGTAAGTTTGGCAAATGTTTATGAGATGGAGCATCTTCATGGAACTGAATTTGACAGGCCTGTGCAAGCTTGTAGATGAACACAGATGCCACACGTCAGTCCATTGTTTTGGTATAGCCTAAACTGCTCTGAGAAAAGCAACAAAGCTGGAAAAGAAAACGGCATCTTGCTCACACACACACACAATTGTCTTAAGCAACCATGCAGCAAATAAACCAAAAGTTAAATCATAAAAAATACCTATGGCTGGAGCATTTATGCAGAGTTCTCTGGCCAGCAGAAGGAAAGTTTTTCCCAGCACATAGACATTCACCTATTAAAAGACAAAAATTGTTATTTGAATCTTAAACCACAAATGCTTTTAAACAGACCATTTACGTAGAAAAGAAAAAAAAAAAAAAACATTTTTGAAATTGTAAAGAACCTGCTTTAGGAAATTCAATGAAAGTAATACAAGAAATATTCACAGATACAGAATAATACCTGGTGCTTGTCAAAAGCTGCATAAGTTAGCATTGTAAATCAAAGCCTAAGTTTATACTGAAAAAAAATACAAAATGCTGTTCATTATGCTCTTCAGTGGACTCAGTGTTGCTCTGTACTACTTTGGCAAATTTCCAGTTGTCACCTAACATGTTAAAGTATTAAGTAGACTTTATAGTGTCATTTGTCTTGTAACGTAACCAAACTTCAGCAAATAATCACAAGCATCTCTGCTTTTACATCATCTGTAAAATCATGTGAAGTGGGACACTTCAGTATTGCACAAGCACAAACCAAGCTTCTCTGCCAAAGAAAGGAGCAGTGCTACATGCCCCAAGGGTATTCGTCACTTCTGATTGTTTGGACATTGCCCCACATGAAAAAGATAAACAAACAAACAAACACCAAACCACCCTGAACCACAGCAGGCTTGCTAAGAAGCAGGCATAGTCCCACTCTTAACCAGGAGGATGTAAATGGAAGGAGCTGTTCCTCGCACTCCGATTTGCAATTTATGGCGTAAGTACAGCAGTTTGAAAGTCTGAGGATGTTTTATTTCACTATCTGAAGATGTGTTTTTGTGGTGAGCAAGAAAGACAGCATGTATTTCAAATCCCAATTATCCCCAAACATTCCCATGAAGCTCCTGGCATACCTTGCTCCCCCTATGGGGCTTATAAAGGTTAGTTTGAAAAATAAATAAATCCAACCTCCTACAATGCAAACTTTTCATTTTTTTTTTAAGGGGTAAGCAGTATGCCCTCTGTTGCTTTCATGTAATAGAACTGCCCCTCTCTTTCCTATGCCAGCATAATGAAGGTGTTCACTAAGCAATTACACAACGGAGTTGTCCATTAAGGTACAAGCCCGTGGAAATTAATAATCTGTTACTAAGTACTGTCTTCCAGTTTCACGGAGCTTTACCAACACTGGTTTAAAAGCAGCCGGCCTCCCAAGTGTAGAGATGCTGCTGCCAAGCTAGTAAAAAAACAAATTCTGACACATCTTCACCTAGCCATCCACTTGCAAAACAACTTTTTGCTTTATGTGAAAGTTTTCCTAATGTGATTTTTTTTTTCCCTCTGAACTCAAATTTAAAAAAAAGGAAAACTTCAAATAAATCCTCAGAATTCGCATGTATGCTGAAAATGACTGTTCAAACAAGTAAGTGCGTATGATGTGATGTTAATTTAGGCCATATTTAGTGGAAAATGTTGAATACCTCCCATGCTTTGTCTGTCTGACCAGTGGTTTCTCTGCCCTAGAAGGCTCCATAGGATAGTCTGAAATTTTACCACTCCTTTTTTCTCCCAGATGCCAGGCAACATAGAAATACTATTCTAGGGCAAGGAAGAAAAACAAAATATACTTTTTGAACAAGTGTAAATAGAAGTAAGTGTAAATAGGAAATAAGTCACAGAATTTTACACAGAAAACCAAGCATCCGCTGAACCTGGCAGTTCATATAGGCGTTCGGGAGCACGCGACTTTCCATGAGCCACAGAGACATTACTTAAAATATCTGCAGTGTTTCAGTTGGCTTTCGATGCTCTACATTCACTGCAAGTCTGGGATGGCTTTTTTTGACCTTTTGTCTAAAAAATATCAGCATAAAGAGTGGGGTTTTGGCTGTAGTTTCAGCCTTTAAGTTGGCTGACCGAGTTACTATAAATCTTAAAGCTCATCACTTAGATCTTGTTCTGCAAGGATGATTTCACTGCACAAATCAATAAAGTTACTTCAGAGGAGCCAAGTCCATATGATATTTCCATCAGAGGCTTCACAAACTAATCTAGTTCCTTCATTTTAGTCTAGAGAGAACCTCTAATTCAGACAAGCATTTCTCCCTCTGGCTTTTTTTTGTCAGGACATCCAAATACTTTGTGCATATCCACATCCAGCCGTGTCACTGGAAGAAACTCCTCCTAAGCAAACTTCCTATAAATGCAATCATCAAAGAACAAACAGATATGAAGAGACAGAGATACTTTTTTTTTTTTTAAGCTACACTCTAGCAACAAAAACAGACGTTGGATTAAATACAAAGCAAAGACAAACGCATTATAAAATTGCCTAATGATTGCTTTTCATCCTCCTATCCTTACCTGCCTAAAAGTCTCCAGGTCCATGGTCTTTCGAGAAGTAAGGTACTTTAAAACTAACCTGCCTTTCCACTTTATGCACATCGTCGGTATTTTATGGCTGACTTCAAGGCGTAGACACTGTATTTACACAAACTAGTAAATTCAAATAGAAATGGTACATCAGGGAAATTTCATTCTTTTGATCACAAGTGCTCTCTGCAGTTTCTCATCACTACCAATTTAGAAAGAAGTAGGATACACAGTGCATTACGTACTCTGTATTGTTTTCCTCATGAAGCTGACGCTCTTTTAATGTCAAGGTAAAGTCACAAAAAGGATCGGGAGCACTTAACTGGTTCCAGTTCTCCTGGCAAATCAGTAGGAAGAGACACTTCAGGCCCTCTAAAGCAAAACGCTTCACATCTTTGAAAGTTACCAAATATTCAGAAGTTCTGGGGCATTTCCTACAGGCAGAGAACTGAAGATGGCATAAAGCTCACTCAGAAATCAGTGATGGTGCTGAACTGCTTAAATGAGGCACTTAACTTCTGGTTTTAGTGGAAGAAGGCCCTTCCGCTAAATTTCAATGCTGCTGTCACTAATTTGAACTATTCCATACACACACCCCTCCTGTGATGGATGAGATGATAGCTATATTAGGCATATAGAAAGAGTCTATCTTTCTTTACTCATCTTTTCTATGTGTTTTGTTTTTTTTTGCACTCTATTAAGCTTCGAAAATTAAGAGAATTAATTTAGAGGCCTACTTTAATTTCTAGTTCTTTCTTCATTAAGAACTTCTTATAAAAATTCATATACTCCAATCCATCAAAAGCTTAATGCTCCAAATTTAGAACCATATGACATTTGCATTCATAAAATCTAATTTTATGAGTCCTTTGAACAGTGAATAAACAAAAATGCCCTTCTAGAAAGCTGTGTCTGGCTTAGACTTCAATTGCTGTAGCTTTCAAGCTTACCACATTAACTTCAGTCTCTTTTCCCCACTTCTTGATTT